GTTTATGACCAACAATATTTTCACGGACCAGACTTTAAGGTGTTGCGGATAAATACAACAAAATAAAACCAGTACTGGTACCAAAAAAAAAAAAAAAGATTTATTCATAACACACGCAAAAAGGCCCAGGGAAAACGAGTTAGCGATAAAAGCGGTTAAAAAAAAAAATGATAAAAAAATTATAGAAACCCTGAAAACCATAAATTTCCCACCCAAACCTCAACTTTCACGGCCCGGTACTGGTCCGTGGCTCAGGGGTTGGCGACCACTGGAATAAAGCATATGATAAGTAGGACTGCTTGAGCTACTCTGGAGTCCAAGTATACAAATATAGAACAGGAATTCAGCATAACTGGTCCGTTTTAATTAGTGAGCAATACAAAACATTGGTTTTTGGACTGTCAGAAAACCACAAACCTGTGAGTCCAGAATGAGCCCCACTAGCTGTTGAAAAATGGGTGGAGACAGAAACCACCAACAATAGGGCTACAGCCATCACCGAGACATGCATCACTGCCAGCAGCATATTTAATGCACATGAAAGATTTTAAAAAGACTGTCTCTAGACTGTAGACTGTATTTATTTTATATTTATTTACTTTGTACTTATTAACCCATGAAACGCATACACAAAGAGAAATCAAAATCTACCAAACTGACACAAAAGTAATCAAACAATGATGAAAAGCAAATTTAAAGCAGAAGTGTCACAAAATAATGTTTGCACAAATCCAAAGTCATTAAAATTTATTAATGCTGCAAGAAAATTCAAGTGTTTACACTGCACTGACTTGATAACCTTTTAAAATTTAGCAGTAGAAAAAAAAATGCACAATGAACATCATCATGGTAGCAGCTCCCTCTTAGACTACTGATTTCTGGGAACAAACTTGAGTTTTACAGGCTGAACTGGCTGAAACTTCCAGTCAAACTCAAGTGGAATCTAAAAAAGAAGAAAAGAAATGGATGTAAAATCAGTGACAGGACAGCAGAGTACCATGACAGTCTGAATGTGGAGGAGTGTTGCTATTACCATGGTCTCTTTGCATGTTTCCAAAGTGTACTTCTGCAAGAGACGGACAATAACCATTTTCATAACGAGGATGGCGTAGCGCATCCCAACGCAGTTACGAGGGCCGAGTCCAAATGGCATGAACGTGTATGGGTTCACCTCTTCCATGTTGTCTTTACTGAACCTGCAGATACAGATCAAACAAACCTTTAAAAATGTAGATATGTAGAGTCCTATAATTCACTGTATTTAACCACGATGTTACAACATAAAGAGTAGGAGGGCGTAGTTCAGGGCAAAAATATACTGTTACTTCTAAAGCTTTGAGGAGCTCTCGGGCCTGATTGAGGACAAGTCAGATCAAAACCAGCTCCACACTGCACCCTCAGTCTAGGGGAACAGTTCAGCTTCCAGAACAACAATGACTCAAAGCAGACAGCTGCAGAGGTTTTGGGATGAAAAAGATAAAGCAAACGTCCCAGATTTCACTAATTATTCTCTCTTGTGGAGGGCGACAGGGTTCTTCACAACCTTGTGATGACACACCTACACTCACATTTACCTCTCTGGTCTAAAAAGCTCAGGTGAGTTCCAGTAGCGTGGGTCTTTGTGCAACAACCACACAGGAACCCCAACTATGGTTCCCTCGGGGATGGTGAAGCCATGCACCTGCACAGTTTTTTTGCATGTCCTGTCAATTCGAGGGGCAGTGGGAATCAGTCGCATTGATTCAAGTATAACTTGGTCCAGGTACTGTAGACCGGTCAGCTCCTCGTATGAAATGGGTGCCTAGACAAATAAAGGCAGCAAACACAAAAAAAAAGACAATATGTAAATGATGTCCACTACTAAATCAGCGATGGAAACACATCATGGGACGAATTACTGTACATCTTTCTTCAGGTTAGCATCAATTTCTTTGTGCAAGGTCTGCAACGCATCAGGGTGGGTGGCCAGATTATAAAGGATGTTAGTTAGAGTGGTACTGGTGGTCTCGTAGCCTCCAAAGATGAAGATCAAGGCCTGGGAAAGCATCTCATGTTCTGTCAAACCTACGGAAAAAACAAAATCAAAGTCCGTTTATTATTAATATAATAACCCTAAAGTAATCAGTAACTAGTACTGAGCCAATCTCACACTGAAACTAACAACTGATCAAAAAGAAAAATGCCAGAGACAGTTTCCTAAATCTGAAGGTGATGTGAAGAACCACATAATGTTTGACACTCCTGAGGAATTACTTTAATAGCTAACAGATAGTTAACTGAAGGTAAGACAAACTAATTATTGCAAGTATTTTGTGACATGGATACAGTGTTTTGAGCTTGTGTGTTCTCTATTTTGTGTCTCTAGGTGAATTATAGCTGACTTTTGTCCGTTCCCTTTTGTGCCTGTGTTGTGAAGACAGTCATGTCTCTGTATTCGTTACCTGTGTCAAGTCCTCTCGTCTCCCTCTCAGTGTAATTTCCTGTTTTATTGTGATAGTCTCGTCTCAGGTGCTTTGTGTTCAGTTTAACTTCCCTTGTCTCGTTATTCCTGATTTGATCCCGGTGTATTTCCCACATGTTTCCCATCTCCCCTCATTACCTGCTGTTTATTTATTATCTGTCTCTCCTTGTTCTTTGTCATGTTGTCTTCTCATGCTGTGTGTCTTCACCTGTGTGTTAAATTTCTCCAGTAGTTTCCAAGTTCCAATAGCTCTAAAACCCTGTATAGGAAGTGGTAACACCAACGAGAAATAGATATCCCATTTCTCCTGGCTACTCTTCCATGGCTCCCTCATCTTGAAATACAAAGCCCTTAATGCTCCACAATATCTCATACACCTCATAGGGCCTGTTACAGTCCAGGCTCACTTTGATATCTCTCACATACAATTTAAAACACTTAGCCAGGCTGGCTATATAAATACTTACAGGGATATTACAGAGGTATGTACAGCCCTTCATTTAATTATCACCCAGGTCCTGATTTATAACATAACACTGGCAGGTCTCTTGTACATGAGACATATGAGCAGATTGATGTCATGAGAAAAATTTGTGTGTAAAACCCCTAATCCTGAGTGGTCTGCAGTACATGTGACATGAGTGACTTGAAAGTGGACAACAAGCTGAGCCCTACACTTTGCCCTACTCGCCCTGATACTTCTGTGGTAAAAACATACCTTTACTTGGCTGTTCTTCATAATCCTTATACGTCTTTTCTGGGATCTCACTCTGAATCAACACCTGCAGAAAGTCTGCTCGATCCTAGATAAGAAAAGAAATCAATCATCATTAGCAACAATTCCAGAAACCATGTATGAAATTGAATATTCCGAAGTTAAAAACAATACTAGAGTAGCACACACAAGTTAATACAGGTGAAATTAGTTCATAAGGAGAAGTTATAGGATGTTATAGGAAAATAGGAAATAGAGACAGCTTATTGTAGAGGACTTCCATGTTTTTAATGAAGTCCAGTTTATCATCAATGTGAACATCAATTCAATTTTATTTATATAGCGCCAAATCAGAACAACAGTCGCCTCAAGGCACATGTTGTACGGCTTTTTCGCCGCACACACCTCATGGATGAAAACAGGCGTCACTGGTGTTCTTGTCCAAAACTACATCCAAAAATAAACAAACAAACAAAAAAACAAGAACAAAAAAACGCAGAAGTTTCTCTAAAGTTTTTCCCTGAAGTAATTTTTCCTAATGGTCACCAGGGGGTGACTACTCTTGTTTCAAAGCTACATAAAACAACACTTTAGCTATAGTGTGTCAGTAAACACTTTCCTGATGAGGTGATTGGCTCTGCAACTAGTTTCATTTCCTTTTAAATTCAACAATACATTTGCTTTGTAAATTATGGTGCCATTAGAATGACACAGGAAGAAAAGGCATGGCATGTTTTACTATGTGATTGAGAAGTTGCAGGTGAGGATAGAGCTGCTCATTGTTTGGCATGTTGAGTTTAAAACATCAGGATGGGGACACTGAAAAGACTCAGCACAACTATAGTACTGCTATACTATTGTTGTACAGTATTATAGCCAAGGATATGTACAGTCCCTCGTAGCATCTTCTTTTTCGACCCCACATAACATGAAGCTACAGCTACATGACAATGACCCAAAGGTTAGTGCATACAGACAATGAAAAGGGAAAAAACAAAACAATGCTTGGACACTGCTAGCATGGGGCGCCCACACAAACGCAAAGCAGGAGATGAAGCATCGCTGAATATGTTTCCAAACCAACTTGATTCTAAGCCAAAGACTAGAAAATCTGGTGAAGCATATCTTCTCTTTGGTTTCACCTCCACAAGTGCCGAGGTAGGTCTCCTCAACAGAATTGGTTTTCCCTGCGTTGGGAGCACACGCTGGGCTCTCCAAATCACGGACAAACAGTATCCCACATTCTTGATTTTTAGTTCACAAACACTTGTAATAAATAACTACTCCTGACATTTTGGAGATATTAGCTCTGTATACAGTAAAGTTACAGCTGGATACAAATATCAGGCTGATCCTGCCAGGATTTGTTCCCTCGGTTCAAATCACGGACAAACAGTATCCCACAGTTGTTCATGTTTTTAAACCCATTTTGCACAGAGAGGCATTTTTGAAAAATGTATTGATAGCAATGTTGAATATTATTACACAGGAAAAAACAACTACATGTAAAATAATTACACCGTGACGCCTCTGCCTTTCTAAATAGAGGGACAGTAACTCCGTGTGTGTAAGCCTGTAAAACCTGAAGTTAGAGACAAAATACTGTTAATCTGACTATCTGCCATTCTGCAATTCATTTCCTGTAAACAATAACGTGGCGCACAGTGTGACGTGGAAAAAGGCACATACCTTTGACGCTGCGTGACAAACTCTGTATTCCTCGTTCACACGTAAACCCAAAAAAGGAGTTTTAAAAAAATCTCAGTTTTCGGTGATTCCAAACGCCGTTTACGTGTGGACGAAACAGCTGCGTTTTCACAATCACCCGTGTACGTGTGGTAGTGTATTTTCTTACTACCTGTAATGTATTACAGATTACTTGTATTTGCTTAATTGTTTACTAAATGTTTGAGGTGTGAAATAAACCGCAATGGAGCAAAATATGGGTGTGTGGTTGGAGGATGTGTCTGTGCGTGTGTGCCTGCGGGGAGGGGGGGGAGGGGCGAATATTTTTCTTGTAAAACAAAGGGGGGGCCCAGCAAAAAAGGTTTGGGAACCACTGGTATAATGTATATGTTTTTTTTATTTTATTGTCAAAGTCCACTTTGACGTACGTCACTAACAATGAAGGTCAACCTCCAGTGCCTAATAAACCTAGGTACTCATGTCACCCAAGGCCTAGTATACTGTTATGAAGATTAAAGATGATCGATTAAAAAAAAAATTGTAGGTAATATAAACTTTTTCCCTTTTTGGTGCAACCTTTACCTTAACTAGATTTTCACCAGAATTGGAGGAGTTTTTGGTATCTACCAGCACACAAAACAGACTGCTAACAAACAGACAGAACCAATTATATATGCCGGGGGAGAATTATAAAAATGCCTTCATACACCAGGTATATAATATCTGCACTATTAAGTACTACGGCAGTACCATGCTTGAATTCAGTGAGTTCTTTAGAATAACCCATTCTTTCACAAATATTTGTAAAGGTAAAGTGCTTGGCTAGGTGCTTGATTTTATACAGCTGTGGCAATGGGACTGAAAAGTCTGAATTCAAAGATTATGGTGCATGTACATGTAAATGTGTTTACAAATGACAGATCACAGAAAAGAAGCGTGTTTTAATTTTAATTTCCTGTGGGCTGAGCCCTGCTTGTCCCGAGCTATGGCTTCCCACATTCACTTCACATTCTCAATAGACATGAGCCTAATGTCATTTAAGCACCTCAGCCCAAAAAAATATACCAATTCTTCTATTTGATGATGCTTAGTTAAATAGTTATATAAATAAATATCACATTTTAACAAATGAGCCCTGAAAAACATCCCTCCTTTTAATCTATTCTGAAGCAGTCCCAGAAAAGTAAATGTCACAAGGTGAATTTGTTTAAATATATAAAACCTTTGTAAAAGTATATCTGATTCTACTATACAGAGCAAGAAAGATAACATCTATCTTTCATCTCTAGGTGGCTACAAAACAGTGAAGTGTGTTGCTTGGTTTACTTCATGTGACTCAGCTCGTGTGTACGTGTGGGCTGATGTAACCCTTGAGTATAAATGTGTAACTCTTGGTGAAAGTAAATCTGCCGGATTTGAACATTACTTAATTTATATTTCATATAATACCAGTTTGTCCCTGTAGTTATTGTGTTATTACACATGTCAGCCACAGACTATAGCGCCACTGAAAGCAAACTTGGAAAAATAATCAAGTAAAAAACAATGTTTTGTTAGCAGACTCTATGTTACATGGAGAGTGTTGCACTGACAGGACTTCTGATATACAACAAGATGAACCTCTTACCCTGCGGTTGGTAAATGCAGAGTAGCACTCCTTCATCATCACAGTTTTAACAATCTCAGGGTCAGCAATCATCAACACTGGCGTTCGTCCATCGTACAACCTAAAAAAAAGAAAAGAGTCTTTCACAATTCTTTTTTTTTTGTACTATTACACATCTGGATATGTAAGCTGATTCTTGCACGTATCCCTAAAGAGAAAATGGTTTGTTATGTTTCCACCGAAAGATTTTTGTTCCACCGAAACTATTTTATCAGATCAAGCTCCAAAGTAAGAACAACTTCATAAAAAGAGGAAGCCAGTAAAAAACTTTTTTCATTATTCCATCCTGTCACAGTGTTGACCTCATAACCACAGTCACACTATGTTACATTTTTAACATACTGTGAGTTTGGCTCCCAGAGATATTTTGGTATGAGTGGATATCAGTGGTGGTTTTGAATGCGTCTTCTATCAGTCATGATGAATTAACAACTCACCCCCAGACGTCCCCATACTTGGCATGGCACTCTAGGTCAAAAGCAAGAAATCCCTGCAAAAAGGTAGACAGGAAAAAAAATGTGTCTTAGTGTCAAAAAGCCACTGAATTGGACGTGAGCACAGACAGGTTCATCAAGCAAATCCTGATCTCTAAATCTCAATGATTAAATCAGTCTGCTCCTCGTATCCCAGTCGCTAAGGTGAGTTTAGTGTATGTACCTTCTTCATGCCCAGCATCGTTCCAATAAAAGGCAGGGGTCTCGGTCCAGGTATCCCCAGCTTTTTGAATAACCGATATGGCCATATTCCGTACCTGTGTTGCAAAAAGAGAGCGAGGATAGGAGCCAGTTGGACAATGAAACAAACAGCAAGCCTGACACCCAACTGTTGCTTTCGAGGTAATTAAGAAGAAACAAGATTCCAGGTGCGGTGGCTTGACCGCAGTGAACAGTCGAGGAATACTCACAGTAATATCAGCGTGAAAAGGAGGGCAAGCAAAGTCCAGGTGGTTGCTGAAAACAGCGTGAAAAACATTTTGACCTCGTTCCGACAAAAGCGCATGTGTAGCTGAAGCAGTGTTGCCAACTTAGCGACTTTGTCGCTATATTTAGCGAGTTTTCAGACCCC